ATCCATGCTGGTGTGCTCAAGTGCGGTGGGGAGCTGGTCCTACTCACAGCAGAGGAGACAGAGGGTGTGTTCTGGAGAGGGACCGTCCAAAACTGACCTCATGGCCTTCAGTCCAGGTCTTCCCCCGTGTCCGATTGTGGGTGGGCATCAGGATTTAAACGAAGATCATAATTCAAGAGTAAGTCTAAGATTTTATTATTAACTTTATAGTATACTTAAAATTTTATTGTTTTTCCAAAGTTACTATCATTTTCTCATTCTTAAAAATTGTTTACTATCACTCGTTTACATATTTTTTTTATTATTTTCCTTATAATCTCCTTAATTTTTTAGTTTTCCCTCTAAACAGAATTAAAAGCTATCACTCACATTTTGTATTATATGATTTTTAAAATCAAATTCAAAATTTTGTTAGATACATCCTTTTACACTCCATTTTTAGGTCTGTGGGGATAATTATTTTGGATTAATTACTTAGAGAATTCACTTCTTTGCATTTTAACTTCAGGAAAACTATTTTGAATACATTGTTGTATTTGATATGATACTGAAAATTTAACATTGTTGAGCAATATTCTTTTTACTTTGCTTTTTGCTTTGCTTGTTCTCTCTCTCTCTCTCTCTGTCTTCTCTCTCTCTTTTGTTTGAGATGGAGCCAAGGGCTTGTGGCATGCTAGGCAAGCACTCTATCACTGAACTACATGACATTTTAAAAATTCATATATTTTTGAAGGAACACGCAGCATGTATTTTCTTTATTATTTATTATTTTTATTCTATGTGTATGAGTGTATTGCCTGTGTAAGTGCACCTGTATCATGCACTGTCCATCGGTGTAAGAAGAGGGCACTGGGTCCCCTGGAACTGGAGTTAGAGACGATTGTTAGCTGCCATGTGTGTGCTGGTATTCAAACCCAGGTTTTCTGCAAGAGCAGCTGGTACCCTTAACTGCACAGTCATCTGTTATTTTCTTATTCCTTCCTCTGGTCATTGTTATTCCAAGAAACACTAGGGTTTATTATTTATTTATTTATTTATTTATTTATTTATTTACTATTGTTGCTCTTTGAAATCATTTTGGGACAAAGGATAGAACAACAGTTTCTGGGCTGAGTATTTCTGATGAAGATGAAGGAGTGAATGAGGAGAGTTCTTGTTCAATCCATCATTGTTATGCAGTTTATTAGTGCTCCAAACACTATAGAAATAGTAGTTGAAGGGACCTTATACTTTAACCCAGCAAATTCATATAAAAAATCTGTATATTTCTGCTGGGGAATATGGCTCAGTGGTTGAGGGCTTATCAGGTGCAAGGCTCTAGGTTCCACCATAGCAGAGCAAAACACAAATACTCAAATACATAAACCACTGCATTCCTATAAGGTTACAATCCTCTTTGAATTTTCATTTGATGGGTTCTTTATGGAATATAAGCATGAATCTTTTCTTCTCTGTGCAATTATTTGCACTATTTACTGTTTCTCTACATGAAATGCAGCAGAGCAGTGGCTAAGCTGAGTCTTCACAATGTCCTTGCCACATTTCATTCCCACTGGCCATATTTTTGCAGCACTGGGTAGACTGTTTATCCTGTTAGTCCTATCACAGTCTAAAAAATTTAGATGATTGTTATCTCTCCTGCGGAGAATTCTTATAAACATTTTGTAAGTTGATACTTTTAAGGTGCTTATAACAGCATTTGCCAAGTAAAAATTGCTTACTACAATTTAAGCATTTTTTTATTTTAATGAGAGAAAATAAAATTTTATGTCAGAAATCTATAATGAATTTCACATAATTTTCCTTTATGTAAAGATATTTGTTTTGTTATTACCGGGAAGGCCACTATTATCAAGCTAGTCCAAGGTACCACTAGCATTTTAGTGCAATATATTACATTGAAACTAATTTACATCAGCTTTCAAAGTTAACAATTGAATTAAGACTTCAGCCACATGGGGCTGGAGAGATAGTTCAGTGATTAGAAGCTCTGGCTGCTATTGCAGAGGATCTGGTTTCAATTCCCAGCATCAACATGGTGGCTAACAACTATCTGTAACTCCAGTTCCAGGGCAATCTGACGCCGGCTTCTGACTTCCGAGGGAATTCCATAACATGAGTACACTTACATACATGCAAGCAATACACTCATACATTTAAACTAAAAATAACAATAAATAAAAAAAAATTTTGGTCGTTTTGAGACAGGGTCTCCCTGTAGCCCCAGTTGTCCTGGAACTCACTATGTACACCAGGCTGGCCTTGAACTCACAGAGATCCGCCTGCCTCTGCCTCCCGAGTGCTGGGATTAAAAGCGTGCATCACCACGCCCAGCCCAATAAAATATTTTTTAAAAGAACCACAACAGAAAAGCTTTTGAAATGAGACATCTAAGTTACTTCCTGAAGATGATTTTAACTTTTTTATTGCACATTTTCCCTGAAAATGGATCATGATAAACTTGAATAGCATATTTTCCTCCCATTAAAAAATCGATGAAGGTCTATAAGAGGATTACGTTGGAGTTTGTGCTTCTAATGGGTTCATTTTTTCATTCTTGAAAACGTATAATCATTAATAGAGTTTTCTGTGCTTGTTTTTAAAAGGAGTACATAGTATTATTTTAAGGACATACTTAATATTGTAGTAAGATGAGAAAAGAAAAACTTAAATCCCTCTACATACTTAAGAGTGACAAAATTACTGGGCTGGAGAGATAGCTCAGCGGTTAAGAACACTGACTGGTCTTGCAGAAGACCCGGGTTCGAATCCCAGCACCCACATGGCAACTAATAACTGTCCATAACTCCAATTCTAGGGGATCCTACAGCCTCTTCTGTCCTCTGCAGGCATTGCACAACATGGGTGCACTTACTTACATGCAGGCGATACACACATACACTCAAAAGAAAAATAATAAATTATTTTTTTAAAAAGAGTGACAAAATTACACCTGGATATGCTAATTAACAAAGAGCAATATTTGTATAGATAATTATATCCAGCAACCTGAACATAACTTGCTTTTCAGGGAATAGAAAAAGATCCATAGCCATAACTGCTGAGTTAAACTTTTATTTTTTGAGACAGGGCCTCCCTGTAGCCCCAGCTGATATGGAATTTGCTATGCAGACCAAGCTGGCCTTAAATTCGTAGAGATCTACCTGCCTCTGCCTTCCGAGTGCTGTGATCAAAAGCTTGCACCGCCATACCCGGCCTAAGTTAAACATTTAAAAACATTTCTAGAGAGTCTGTATAGTGAAATGTCTGCCCAGAATCATTGAATCAAAATCCAAACCTTGATTTCAAGAATTTAATAGAAAAATAAAGTTGTGCCATATATAACTCGATAATTTAGAAGGCAGCATACTATAAGAAGCACAAAAAGGTAAAGAAATCACACACAGTGTGATTCAAGTTCAATGGAGCTGTCTGTTTTCTCAGTTGAAGGAAGACTTCCAGAATAATGATGATTTTGGTTGTTATAAAATGGAGAAGTTTTCTTGGAATAATATTGACAATAATTAATATTATTGGAAGAAAAAAACTTTAAGAAAATGGATGTACAGCAAATCTAAAATGTGTCTAAAAACAGGGAAAAGTTCACTTGGGTTACAGCAATAGGTTTCACACGAGAGAGTGTGCGATAAGGCAAGAAAAGTATTATAAAGAGACTCTCCCGAATAAGTACTAGAATCATTTTTTACTCTTTTTAAAAGTCATTTGAAAAGTACCAAAGTTTGAAGCAATAGCATCAAGGTATTTTGGGAAGATGACCAGAAGGATTAACTGAAGGTTGAATGAAACGTAGTAACTTTTTGAAATAGTCAAAGAGAGAACCAATCATATTTAAAAAGTTTCATGTAGGCAGATATTAAACTTGGAAAGCATTAGAACATATATGTAATTATTTTATGTGTAGCTGGGAACACTGGTAAAACATTCAAGAGAACTACATTTGATAAATAAAATCTCAAAGGACTATATATTCCAGGACTTGATTAAAGAATTGTTGAAAACACGATGGATCAGCACCAACATTTAACTAATGAAATAAACACACACCATGAAAAGATAACCTAAATCACATTGGAGATTGGGAAAACAGGCATGCAATCATAAAACACAAGACTTAGACGAAAGAATAAATAAATGTGTGAAACATTAAATCCTACAATGGAATGTATAAATTCTATAAAGAATTATATATTTATAATTTAAGAAACAATATTTGTTTCTTGGGGCTGGAGAGATGGCTCAGTGGTTAAGAGCACTGACTGTTCCTGCGGAGGACCCAGGTTTGATTCCCAGCACCCACATGGCGGCTCTGAACCATCCTTAACTCCAGTTCCAGGGGAATCCCAAGCCCTCTTCTGACCTTCGCGGCATTCCATGACACTGCACTCAAATACATGCAGACAATACACTCATACACATGAAATAAAAATAATAAAATAATTTTAAAAAGAAACAATACTTCTTTCTTAAAAAGCTACCTTAAAACAAACTCTTGTCCCCAAAGATTCCCAAAGTCCCTATATTTCCATTTAAGAGAAGTATCTGAAAAATTCATATATATGCCTTTTTAACATTAAAAAGCTTTTCTAAGTTTTTTTTTTAATTTAAAGAAATTCCAAGACATGAATCCCTAGATTATATGGGAGTTTTCCTCACTGGTGAAACTGAACCTAAGAATATAGAGTTCCTAAATAATAGAACAAACAAATGTAAATTTCTGGTTGTTTACAAGATTGTCACCTAGGTTTTTCTGTATTTTAAAACTTGTGGGAAAAAGTTTTTCCAAAGCACAAGGAAGCCAACATTATGACCAACAGTAACTATCCAAAAGCTATAATCTTCCAACAATGCTTCAAAGAAATGCGGGATATGTTACTCAACATTTTGACAACAAAGAAGAAAAAAATTCAATTTAAAGTAAACTTTTTTTATTGTACAAGTATAAAGTTCAATTGTATAATTCCTACTAACTACTTGGGCCACATGATGTCGCTCTTATCCACCAAATGGTATCCTAGTCAAAAAGAGAAGCCTTTCCACTAGGAAGACTCCTCTGTTTCACTCTTCCTATGCTCAACAATGGCAAGCTTATAGGGAATGGAATGAAGGAATAAAAAGATTCTACCAAATTTTGACGCAAGTGTCGCTGACGAAAATAAACGTCAGTCATTTGAGATGGTCTACTTGAGCGAATACAATCGGAAGAACCAACAATTACTCCTGCTTATGATAATCCTGGCAGCCTGGCAGGCAGGGAGCGGCCAGCTGCACTACTCCATCCCGGAGGAGGCCAAGCACGGCACCTTCGTGGGCCGCATCGCGCAGGACCTGGGGCTGGAGCTGGCCGAGCTGGTGCCCCGCCTGTTCAGGGTGGCGTCCAAGGATCGCGGGGACCTTCTGGAGGTAAATCTGCAGAATGGCATTTTGTTTGTGAATTCTCGGATCGACCGGGAGGCGCTGTGCGGGCGGAGCGCGGAGTGTAGCATCCACCTGGAGGTGATCGTGGACAGGCCGCTGCAGGTTTTCCACGTGGAGGTGGAGGTGAGGGACATTAATGACAACCCGCCTGTATTCCCAGCCACACAAAAGAATCTGTTTATCCCAGAATCCAGGCTGCTTGATTCTCGGTTTCCACTAGAGGGCGCCTCTGATGCAGACGTCGGTACCAACGCTCTGCTCACTTACAGGCTGAGCCTCAATGAACATTTCTTGCTGGATGTACCACCCAACCACCACCAACTGAAACCTCTTGGACTTGTGTTACGGAAACCTTTAGACAGGGAAGACGCTCCTGGGTTGCATTTACTGCTCACGGCCATGGACGGAGGCAAACCAGAGCTGACTGGTACCGTTCAGTTACTCATCACAGTGCTGGATGCCAATGACAATGCTCCCGTTTTTGATAGGTCATTCTACACAGTGAAATTACCAGAAAACGTTTCCAGTGGGACATTGGTTATCAAAGTTAATGCCTCAGATTTAGATGAAGGCGTGAATGGGGATATTATGTACTCGTTTTCTAGTGATGTTTCTACAGATATAAAATCCAAGTTTCACATGGATGCTGTGAGTGGAGAAATTACAGTTATAGGACTTATTGATTATGAAGAGGCAGCAGACAAAGGAAATCCTCCAATGACAGATCACTGCACAGTTCTAGTGGAAATAATGGACGTCAATGATAATTCACCTGAATTGGTCACCAAGTCACTGTCACTACCTGTATTAGAAAACTCTGCACCTGGCACTGTCATCGCCTTGATCATCGTATCTGATCGTGACTCTGGAGCTAATGGCCAGGTGACTTGCTCCCTGACGCCCCACGTCCCCTTCAAGCTGGTGTCCACTTTCAAGAATTACTATTTACTGGTGCTGGACAGCGCCCTGGACCGCGAGACCAAAGCTGACTATAAGGTGGTGGTCACTGCGAGGGACGGAGGCTCGCCTTCGCTGTGGGCCTCGGCCAGCGTGTCTGTGGAGGTGGCTGACGTGAACGACAACGCGCCTGCGTTCGCGCAGCCCGAATACACGGTGTTCGTGAAGGAGAACAACCCGCCGGGCGCCCACATCTTCACGGTGTCGGCGGTGGACGCGGACGCGCAGGAGAACGCGCTGGTGTCCTACTCGCTGGTGGAGCGGCGGGTGGGCGAGCGCGCGCTGTCGAGCTACGTGTCTGTGCACGCGGAGAGCGGCAAGGTGTATGCGCTGCAGCCTCTGGACCATGAGGAGCTGGAGCTGCTGCAGTTCCAGGTGAGCGCGCAGGATGCTGGTGTGCCTGCTCTGGGAAGCAACGTGACTCTGCAGGTGTTCGTGCTGGATGAGAACGACAATGTGCCGGAGCTGTTGCTACCAAGGACTGTTGGCGTTGGCGGCTCAGTGAATGAGGTGGTACCTCGGTCTTTGGGGGCCGGCCAGGTTGTGGCGAAAGTGCGTGCGATAGATGCGGACTCTGGCTACAACGCATGGTTGTCCTATGAGCTGAAGCCCGCCGAGGCGGGCATGCATAGTCCGTTCCGTGTAGGCCTGTACAGCGGCGAAATCAGTACAACGCGAGCTCTGGAGGAGACCGACGCACTGCGACAGCGTTTGCTAGTGTTGGTGAAGGATCATGGAGAGCCAGCGCTGACGGCCACCGCTACCGTGTTGCTTTCTTTAGTAGACAGCAGCCAAGCCCAGAAGGCCTCATCTAGGGTGTCGCTTGGCGCCTCCAGCCTGGATACGCGGCTCGTGGATGTCAACGTGTACCTTATCATTGCCATCTGTGCGGTGTCCAGTCTGTTGGTGCTTATGCTGCTGCTCTACACAGCACTATGCTGCTCTAGAGCGTCCAGGGAGGGCGTGTGTGGTCCTAGGAAACCGGTTCTGGTGTGCTCCAGCGCGATGGGGAGCTGGTCTTATTCAAAACAGCGTCAAAAAAGTGTGTGTTCCGGAGAGGGCCCGTCCAAGACCGACCTCATGGCCTTCAGCCCCAGCCTACCTCAGGGTCCCAGCTCTACAGAGAACGTGAGTCTTCAGTAATTTTCTTTCCAATACTTAGAAAAATATGAGTTATATCCATTTTTCATGGCACCCTCCTTTAATTCCAACAGAAGGGGGACTGGGGCAAGAAGACACTTGATTTAAGGCCAGTCTGGCTTACAAAGGGAATTTGTTTCATGATAGTTACATTAGGGTCCTTTGTCTTTTTAAAAGCTGGTAATTTATGTTAGTTAGCCTGTAGTTCTGATGAATAATTTGCTAATTTGAATTCTGTCTTCACCTTCTTTATATTGTGGTTTTCCAAAATTAAGGGTTTACAGAATCAGTGTGTTTTTCAATGCACTCCCCCCACAACAGACCCCCCCATTCCCTTGATATGCTGGGCAACACTCCAACATTTAGCTACATTCTACTCCATCTTTATAAATCATATAGTAAAAGAACTTCAATATATATTTTGACCTACTATTTACTCTTGTAGCACTGTCTTCTTTTTATCTTTTTTTGTAGAATTTTTTACCATGTAATTAATATTATATAAAAGTATAGCCTTAGGCCAGCCTGGTCTACATAGTGAGTTCCAGGACAGCTGGTGCTACAGGGAGACCCTGTCTCAAAAAGACACACACACACATACAAAAGGTATAGCCTTAGGCAGAACTTAAATAGTACTTTAATTTAATTCCTTATTTGTATAGGAACATACTCAAATTTAAAATGCAAAAGAATTGCAGTGTATAAAGAAATTCTCCTTACTGGTTCTAACACTAAATCATTCATTCACTTTACCTCTGAATTCCTGAAGCAGTTTTGGTTTTTGTTGTACATTCTAAAATTCAAATACATGTACAATGCGCCTTTCTTTTTTAGAAAAAAATGATTATACTTTAAACCTTCTATTGTGCATTTTTGAAAATTTCTATTTTCAATAATATTACCTTTTCTTTTTTTCTTAAAAATCTGCATCTTAAGTCAGGCATGGTGGCACACACCTTTAATCCCAGCACTTGGGAGACAGAGGCAGGCAGATCTCTGTAAGTTCAAGGTCAGCTTGGTCTACATAGTGAGTTCCAGCTCAGCTCGGGCTAGAGGGAGACCTGGTCTCAAAAAGACTCCTCCCCCCAAAATCTGCATCTTATGTCTTTGTGGAGATTTATCAAGATTCATTAAGTCAGTTTTCTCTTATGTACATGCAGGGAACATAATGCTAGTTATCCAAACTCAAGTTGTTTTAAAATTTTTTGCAATTATTTGTTTAGTTAGCTATAACTGCAAACTTTGAAAGTTGGCAAAATTCTAATATAAATTGTGGAATATTTTAGAATATATTGCTCTTTTGCTTTCAATGTGAAAGCAAAGACCTACAACTCATTAGCAGGTCTAATACTCAGGCAACTTACTTATAGAGCAGTGCCATAAGCATACCAACTCCACTGCTCTTGTGGAAAGAATAGTCAAATTTGGAGAACATCTCTGATTATTTTAGAGCTTTGGTGATGGTAATTATAATTATTTTATCGTTTTTAAATATTCCTTTTTTTTAACAGGCAGATGCCCTCTTAAAATCTTCTTAGAAAATCACTTAATAAAGATTAAAATCTATCTTTGGACACAGTAGAAGTAGGTAGTGTCCTTCTTACCAAACTCTATGTTCATGAACCATGTGTTTTTTTTTTAATAGGAAATAACTTTTAGAAATTCAAAAATGTTCAGTTATGTACTGCCCGTTTTTTTTCTTGTTAGTAAAAGTCCTCAAATATCCTATAACTCCTTTTCTTTCTAAAATCTTTGGTGTTGTTTAGAATCAACTTATAGATTGGTGTTTTCTAAATAAAGTGAGGATAAATATAACAAGTTTCATAAATTCCCCTGTTCTCTTTTCTATTTCACTTTCCTGTCTGTGAATTTCAGTAACCTAATAATCTGTAGTATACACATATTCTTATTCAAGGTTCTGAGAGCACTGAAAATAGTGCATGTTTATCATGTTCTCAGACTTCTGAATTTTAAGAATTGAGTACAAAGCCACATGTGATGCTTTACTTAAGTTTAGAAATTAAAACGTTTCAGTTAGGACTGCATTTATGAGAAACTCTAACCACCAGAAGAACTTCAGTGTAAGGGATGTAGGTTAAAGTATCTTTTAAAAACATAATTTATTTATTTTTATTTTATGTGTGTGTGTGTGAGTGTACATATGTGCATTCAGGCAGGTGTGAGCTGCAATGTTGGTGCTGGGAACCAAATCTGGATCATCTGGAAGAACAGCAAGTGTTCTTAACCACTGAACCATCTCTCCAACACTTGTGTATCTTTTATGGATGTTTTTAAGAGTGCAAGGAAATGAATATTTTAAAAAACAGATTTCCTCAAAAAAATCAGATATTTAGTGATAATGGCACTAACAGGATTCCAATAATATACATCTTTTAGAATGAAGTTTAAAAAATTATAATGGCTTCTTAGAGAATTAGCTTTTGAGGTGGGTTTTGAAGGATGGAATTTTTGTAGATAAAAGTGAAGTAGTAGAAGAAAACTTGAACAAAGTTTATTTAGGAAGAGACAGTGTCTTTTCTGTAAAATATGATTCATACTAGAAAGTGGTTAGAGACCGCACTGGGAATGCAAGGATAGTGGTATATATTGTACCTCTTGATTGAGTTTGAAGTCTTTGTACTTGTTAAATAAAAAGCAGACATGCCAGAGGTTTCATTGCAGTCAATAAAAGTTGTACTCATAAGAGGTATATACAAAATTTATGACTTAAGAAGGGGAGTATTTAGGAAAACTAAATATTTTTATTCAAGGGAAATTAGTAATAAAAATAAGTAGAAATACATTTAAGTAAGTTTGGAAGTTTATAAAATGGCCAGAGTATATAAATTGTGATGTTTAAATATTCACATTTGGGGATAATTTTTTTTAAATTAGAGATTCTTTTGATTTTGTCCAATTTTTTTCTAGACAATGTCAGGGTGTAGAGAAATGTCAAGTAGAAAATTGAAATAGGGACTTGTTGCTATAGATTTAAATATACTGTAAAAGATAAGCTAGTCTAGAGACATTGAAATAGATACAAATCACTGTAGGAAAAGGGCCAAAAATTACAAAAGAGCTAAATTCATCATTTTGGAGAGTATTCATTCATATTTTAGAGTAGCAGAAAGATTCAAATCTGGCAGAGACCATTGGTAGAAATACTATTAGGGTTTGCAGAGACAAAGAAATCAATGTAGAAAAGTGTGAGAGGCCTGTTTTGACATGCTACAGAGATACTGAAGATTGAAAAAAATGTGCTTTCATTTTTCCTGCATTAGTGAGCAAAGTGGTTTAGTAAATGTTGCATTCATTGAACACAAGAAGAAATTTAATAAAAACTCAGAAAAATTTATATGAAATTAAGAAAAATTAGAGTTATATGCTCATAAAGAATAATATGTTTCAACAACCAGGTCAATACAAATGCATTCCTTCCACACAAAAGTGTGGGGGTTAGGGCTGGAGAGATGACTCAGGGGTTAAGAGCACTGACTTCTCTTGCAGAGGACCTGGGCTCGATTCCCAGCACCCACATAGCGGCTACAAACCATCCTTAACTCCAGTTCTAGGGGAATCTGAAGCTCTCTTCTGACCTCCGCAGCACTTCCCGACATGGGTACACTCACATACATTCAGGCAATACACTCATACACATAAAATAAAAATAAGAAAATAAAATATTTTTAAAAGTGTGGGGGATAGTTCATATCTCTGATATCCATGACATTCCCAGATGACGCTTCAAGATATTACTAGTAGATACTAGTATTTAAAATATTGGGAAGAAACTTCTTTCCTTGGAAGAGATCTCTTACTGAATCCAAACTACTGTAAGGAGGCAGAGAATAAATGTACCTGTACTTGTAAGGTAAGGATGTACTATTAAGAGCGAAAAAAAGAGGGGCTGGAGAGATGGCTCAGCGGTTAAGAGTACTGACTGCTCATGCAGAGGACTCGGGTTCGATTCCCAGCACCCACGTGGTGGCTTTGAGCCGTCCTTAACTCCAGTTCCAGAGGAATAGGAAGCCCTCTTCTGGCCTCCGTGGCATCGCACGACACGGGTGCACTCACATGCATGCAGGCGATACGCTCATTTACATGAAATAAAAATAATAAAAATAAAAAAATAATGAAAAAAGAAAAGAAAATATTTGTGGTATAGAAGAAACCAATGATTGCCCAGGTGAGTGAAATATTTGGAGTCATTACCCATTAGAACCGCATGATGTCGCTGTCCACCAAGTTCTGGCAAACCCGGATCCAAAGACTCCTTCCTGTAGCTTTTCCAGTCTCTTAAAGCTGAACAATGGGATTTGCAGCGCAACTGGATTAAAAGATTCCAGGCGGACAATAGTTGATCTAATCAAGTCAAAAGATTTTCTCACAAGAACAAACGGGTGCTTGACATGGTGTTTTCTTGGCGAGGAGGTCCGGATTCCCGGCGTCTCTTGCTCTCGCTTCTGCTTCTCACAGCCTGGCAGGCAGGTAGCGGCCAGCTGCACTACTCCATCCCGGAGGAGGCCAAACACGGCACCTTCATAGGCCGCATCGCGCAGGACCTGGGACTGGAGCTGGCCGAGCTGGTGCCCCGCCTGTTCAGGGTGGTGTCCAAGGACCGCGGGAACCTTCTGGAGGTAAATCTGCAGAATGGCATTTTATTTGTGAACTCTCGGATCGACCGGGAGGAGCTGTGCGGGCGGAGCGCGGAGTGTAGCATCCACCTGGAGGTGATCGTGGACGGGCCGCTGCAGGTTTTCCACGTGGAGGTGGAGGTGAGGGACATTAACGACAACCCGCCTGTGTTCCCAGTAAAGGAGCAAAAGCTGTTTATTTCAGAATCCCGAATGCTTGATTCCAGGTTTCTGCTAGAGGGCGCTTCAGATGCAGATATTGGAGCCAATTCAGTTTTAACCTATAAGCTTGACTCTAATGATTACTTCACACTAGTTGTAAATTCAAAAAATGACGAGAATAAACAGGTCGAACTCACATTAAGAAAA